TTTTTTCAGTTGGACCTGACTTACAGGCAAGTATACAAAGTAATGCTGACTTTTGATTAAATTTAAATTTACAGAAAACCCAGTAAATGTATATTTCCTCAGTGCATCAGATGGAGAGAACTGAATTTAAAAGTAAAAAATACAAAATTTAAACTGCTAAATGTGGCCGAACTGTTAGGATTGTTTGCATGTTACATAATGTAAACTAGCTATTAACTAGTTATGTCACCCTAAAATGGATATTATTATTATTATTATTATTATTATTATTATTATTATTATTATTATTATTATTATTGGTTTATGAGAAAGTACCGCCTTTTGTCTTGAATAGTGGACACAGTTACACTTTCAGGACAAAGAAATTGTGGAAGCTATGCTGTAGTGTAACCACAAAGACTGATTCAAAACATATAATGCTAGAAAATGTGGAAGCTATGCTGTAGTGTAACCACAAAGACTGATTCAAAACATATAATGCTAGAAAAGTGAATATTTATTGCAGAAACTAATTAAATCCATATTGCAAGTGTCAATGATAGGATTTAAATTGATAATAAAAGTAAAATTTTGTTTCCAATGGAAAGGTGTCCTTTTATTAAGTGTCTGTTAAGACAGGTTGTGTTGTATTTGGGGTTTGTGTTCCACATTTCATGGCAGTTACCTTTAGCAAATGCTGATATGTTCACAGGTTCTGCCATTTCAGTAGATGTCATGTGCCCTAAGCAAGGATATGTTGTAAATGATGATGAGTGAATAACTATCCTCAGAGCATCACCAGGAGAGCTATTCATAGCTTCCCTGCATTTTTCAAAATACAATCCCTGCTGTATTGGTTTGAATTTAAATCAATTTTGTTGCTTTGCTTCAATCATCTATAGATTAATTTTGTTATTATACATTGATGACTGAGCCCTCTAATAACTTTCCAAGTGATGTCAGTAATTTCTGGCAATAGAAAACATTTTTTTAAAAAAAAAATCTACTTAACTGTCTATATAGAAAGAGGATTATTGTTCATAAATTTTGCAGTGTCCAGTAAAGCATTGTGTCTCTTAAAATTATGCAGATTATACATTTTGATTGATGCTTGACTTGCCATTTTGCTTTCAGATAAACTACACACACTTAATGGAACCCTGGAACTAACCTGGTTAGCCCTAATTTGATAGATGGCATTGAATGAATAGCTCAAAAGTGCAAGAAAACTGACTGACTAGTTTACAGGTATTTGAAATGTGTACACTCACTAAACACCTTTTCACAAGTTCAGTATTTGTGGAACATATAAATGGATATGCATCAGTGCTGGTAAATTTGTTACCAGTACATGTATAATACAGGTAAATATAGATATTGTACCAGCATGAAGATAAATATGGGTTCTTTTAGAACAGTGTTAGGTAATAAGTTATTGGGAGGAAAATTGTAAATATCATTTACTCATGACTTTATTTGTCTTTTATTTTGATGTGCCTTTTGGAATATCTAAAATCTACTTTGCATAGTCAAGATTGTGTTGATATGCTGTATTTTAATTTTTATTATTATTATTATTATTATTTTTATGATTTATTATTATTATTATTATTATTATTATTATTATTATTATTATTATTATTATTATTATTATTATTATTATTATGATTTATTATTATTATTATTATTATTATTATTATTATTATTATTATTATTATTATTATTATTATTATTATTATTATTAATTCAGCAATTATAAAGAATATTCTTAACAAATACATAAAATTTGCACAGGCTAATACATCAGATTCACTTGCTAAATCAGTATATAATTGCCATGAGGGAGAGAATTGTTATTAAACATTTCAATTAAAAGATTACAGATAAGTTGAGAATTATGCCTTGAATTAAAAGATTACAGATAGGTTGAGAATTATGCCCATTGTGTGTCATCTGTTGTTGGTCATCAAAAATTGCTTGTGAATATCCTTGAATATCTTGTGCATGTATATAAACTTATATCGTCTAGACCCTGAATGAGTACATATATGAGATAAATCCATGCATATTAATGAAGTAATATTCACAAAAGACTTCTTCTGATTTCTAGATAGTCCTAAAAATGCAAATCTTGGTGATCTATAGCACAAAATATTGTTATTGTTACTCATCGTACATGGGTGGTCATAACACCAAGGGGTTTTCACTGAAAAAATTTCATAATGAAGTCTAGCTGGTCCTAAGTGAAAATGATGCCAATCTGAACTCCAATTTGGTCATTGCATCCATCTTGAAAATCTTCTTTTTACAATTTATCCCAAACAAAATGACATGAGGTTTTCTCCAAATGACTTCTTATGATGTCCAGCAAATGAACATGGTGCCTATCTAACATCAAAATAATTGTCCACCAAACAGTAGCCATCTTAAAAATTGTCTTGTTGCCCTTCCTTTAGAATGGACAGTCATATCAATGTGATGTTTTCAATTAAAGACTTCTTTTGATATCTAGTTTGTCCTAAATGACAATGTTGTTGACCAGATGTCTAATTTGGACATCACATCAACCATCTTAAAAATATTCCTATTGCTACTCTGTTTTTGCTTGGATAGAGTTCTTTTGAGCTCTGCCATTCAGCCTAGGCTCTACACCAAGAGCATTCACCAGGGTAATGGGAGTAGTTGTGTCCCATATAAGGTCACTAGGTATACCCCAGCCCTCCAATATTTCAACTATTGTTTGATCAAAAGAGGCCACCTAGAGTCCATCAGACTAGATCTGTCTTGTTGAAATGGTCCATTGTTTATGTGGGAATGAATTTCCTCACAAACAGAGGATTAATTTGTATGCCTTGAGACAGAGTAGAAAAGATTTTATATCTATTGGAGGCACTCAGAGCAAAGACAACATTGGCTGATTATTTTCTTTCACTGCTTCATTAGACCAGATTTCTTAGACTAACTGCATTTGTGTCCTTTCTAGTTACACCTTTTGGTTGTGTGGAAATCTTGTAAGGACTCTCAAATTTTGCTAAAGGTCTGGCTTTCCTCCATCATCAGATTTGGTGTACAAACCAGAACTGGTTTTTGGCCAAGTCCCCATGTATCTTCTCTCTCCCCCCAAAACTCCACTTACTCCTACCTGTTCACAAATACATCACATTCAGCTTGGAGTGCTCATCCAGAGCTGGAAAGATTCATTCTTCAGGGTACATGGTTTCATGGTCCTGGGAAGAATCTACCCTCTATAGTGATGTAGCGTTTCCAGGGTGCAGCAACAATATTAGAGGTTGTTTTGTGATGGTCTCCTCTGTCGTGTTAGTTATAGCTTATCTTTGGAGACAAGGGAGCATAAACTTCTCTCTGCAAGGATATTTGGAACATCCTTCGCTGTGCAACCTTGAAAGGAATTACCCTCCCAGTTTGCCACATTCCAAGCAAGAGGAATATTTTGGCAGACAATCTGCCAAGGAAAGAGAAGATAGTCCATAGCCCGTAGCAGACTGCCTGTTCCAAATTTTAAGGACTCATTGGTGACCTTTGCTACAAGTCCAAACACAAAGCTTTCCTTTTATGTTTCCTCAGTCCCCAACCAGAGTGCCTTGGCAGTAGATGCTTTCAGCTTGAAGTTGGATGATCTGTTCACTAAGTCTTCTGTCCCTCCAGGATGATCCCTTAGAGACTTCACAAGGTAAGGAGTTTACCTGACATTTTGAGGTGAAAAGGCCAGTATCTTGCTTGCCATTTCCTAAATGGATCTTTCTTGTATCTTGTAGTCTCTAAATGAATCCTCCTATGAAATTTTCAGTGAACCTTCATTTGAAATACCTTACCTTCAATGACTGTTTCTTGCTGTCCTTAGCATCTGTGAGATGGATGAGCAAGATCCATGCCCAATCCAGAGCAAGGTTGCATAAGGCTCAGTGTAAAATATGAATCAGTTTCTCTCGTTTGTGAACCATTTTTTTAGCAAAACATTTTTTTTCATTGGTTGTTCCACTCCCATTTGAGACCCCCATTCTGAGTTATATCTGTGCAGGGATGGTCAAGATAGACTTTTATGTCTAGATAGGGCTTTACATTTTTATTTGCCACAGGCAAGTATTACATCATTAAAAATTAGTCCACTTCCCACTAAATTTTTCTTAAGTTAACCAACTATTGATAATTGTGTTGAAAAGTCCTTAATTTGTTTTGACTAGTCAAAAGTTTTTTTTTTTTTAAACAATACACATGTTTAAATTTGGCTACCAGATTTGTTAATACACATTCAGATATGGATAGATGAATTATTTGTGCACCAAATAAGTTTCTGAAAAGAAGAGAATGTTGAATGTAATGTCATGTTTTTAAGAATAATTCAAAAATCAGAGGTTGATGTTTCTCTTTCTAAGTTATGTATTATCAGAATCATCATACTTCAAACGACTCACATTGCCTCATAATTTGTTTGTACATTTGACTTAAAATATGTGTCTGATAATAGAAAATAGATCAATACAGTTATATTACCACCCACTATTGTTTGAGGATGTGCCACAGTAAATACAGTTTGCCACTAACCAGGATCCCACTGGCCTTATTCTGAGTCCCTGTGCTTTTGGGACCACATCTTTTAATGGCCAAGACTAATTCAGTTTATTTTTAATAATATTGTCAGTCCAGTGTTCTTAACTTGATCATGCTTTCAGTGTTTAAAAAATTTACTTTTGTTTTAAGAGAAGCAAATTGCAGCTGCTATTAATTGAGATGTGCTTGACATATCTGGATCTTCAGTTGATAGCATAATTAACATTGATTAAATGTACCCTGTAATCAAACATGCACTCTGCTCATGGCAAGATCAACACACTGACAATTTTTTTGTAATTTTTTTATAATTGTTCTGCATAATTTGATTGCATTAAGAAAACCTCTTTTTTTCACTTGTCTATTTATGGGGGTAAGTTATGTAGATTTGCTGGTTATCTAGAATTCTGATGCATGTAGGAGCAGATAGATGTTTTCAATTGTACCGCTCCGGTGGCCTAGTGGTTGGAGCATCTGCCTTGGATGCAGAAGGTTGTTGGTTTGAGCCATGGCGAATCATACCAAAGACTTGCATAAATGGTACTAACAGCTGCCTCACTTGGCGCTCAGCATTATGAGGTTAGTGTTAGGACTGGTCAGCCTGGTGTCAGGATAATGTAACTGGATGGGACATCATGCTACATGTCTGCAGCATGATGCTCCAGTGCTAGACATCACTAAAAACTACCACACTGCAGACATCGTAGCAATATGACTGAAATTTTTTTAAAAACTATGTTAAAAATCTAAATCACACACTCAAAAACACACATTTTCAATTACCTTGAAGTGTTAACTACCTAATTAATTTAATGGTGTAATTTGATGCCATTTGCTAATTATTTTAAGTACAGAAATCCAGATTAAATTGTCCATGAAGACAGTTAAAAAAATACAATACAATATAGAGATAAGTTTATGAAATTAAATTTTCATTCTTCTAGTATTTGCAATGTCATATTGTAATTGTGTGTTTGAAATACAGTTCATTTCAGATAATAATGAAAACCTGGGGGCAGAGGTCAGTCTCAGTTACCTACAAGGGAGGGATTGTGATAATTGTTGGAACTTCTTAAATAGCAGAAAATTGAAGGGCTATCACATTATCAGCTTGTCTAATCTGTACCTGTCAATACAGGCTAGGATTGTCTAGGAAAATTGCTGAAAATCTTTTTTTTTCTGAACAAAAGGAACATCACAATGGTTGACACTGCAAGGCTTGATTGGTCATGTTTTTGATTACTACATAGTTGAAATGTATTTTAATAATGAAACTAGATAAGGGGTTGCCAGTTAATTTCCAGCAGTGTTTGGGAAGGGAGAGATTTTTTTTCTTTTTAACAAATATTTATAGCCTTTTCAGATAACTTGTCAAAAATTATTCTAGCTCTGATTTATAGAAATAGCAAAAGCTATTATATCCATTATATTGAAAGAAAAAAGAATTATCTTGAAGTAAAAGAAATGTTACAGCTTGAAAGAAATGTCCATGTGCCAGCTTGGTTCCTAACAACTTTTTCTATACATACTCATTTCACTACAGACAGGAAATAGTATAGTCTGGAGTTTTCTCTTAGATTTGGCAAATTTGCAGATTTCTCGGTTAAATTTCTTTTAAAATGTATGATTTCTATATAATGTGTAAAAATTTCTAAGCATTTTTAGCCAATAAAAGCAAAAATTTCAGATCTGAATTGTTAGATTTGAATTACCTGTCATTTGTGATAAATTCAGTACAGACCTCACTCTCTACAAGGTCTTTCATTACAGCACTTCCTTCTTATAAGGTAAATTTGGTCATGAATCACATTTCATTAAGTGGTAGCAGTTATATGTATCAAGTACTTTATTATAAGATGATTTCACTGAGCTAGTATACTGTATTGGCTTCTTGAATGATGTTATAATGAGGGAATGTTATAAATGGTTTTATATAAAGTCAGATAGGGAGAAGGTCAATGTCCTTGTACTCATATTCTTAAGAAATTAATTTCATATCTAATGAAGTTTTAGAGAAATTAGGCTTTTATGGATTGAGTGGAGAAATGTGGATGTTTTACAAAAATTTCTAGTTGACCCAGTGGTGGGAGAACATGTAATTGCTGTATCACTGAAGCTGAAGTAGTGTACAGTATTGAGTAGTGTACAGTATTGTCTTGTATGCCATGAAAATGTGCACACAAACTATAAAACATGCACACAAAGACATTTTTAATATTATTGTGATGTAAATTTTTCAGTATGGTGGCATTACAGTAATCTGTTTTGAATGAAGATAGAATAGTGTACAAAAAAACTTGTTTACTAATGTCATAATAATGTTCCTAATAAACAAACTATAAAACATGCATACAAAGCAATTTTTATATTATTGTGATGTAAATTTTTCAGTATGGTGGCATTACAGTAATCTGTTTTGGATGAAGATAGAATAGTATACAAAAAAAACTCGTTTGCTAATGTCATAATAATGTTACTAATACATTGCTGAGTCAGTGTCCTTGAAAGTTAGACTGAACTCTATTGCTGGATAGAATTGTTAATGTTGTAAAGGTATATGGAATACTTTTAGTTACCTTCAAACACCCTGCCATTTTGCTGCATTAACTGTGTTCTAAATATGATCATGTCTCATTACCCCCCCCCTAGCATATACTTATACTCAGGTCTCATTAATGGATAATGTTGATTGGGGAAGGTATTTTGAGACACAGCAAGATTAGTAGCAATTTAGTGTAGAGGCAGCTGGTGATGCGTGACAATAGCTGTTCCAGGCTGATCCAGTGATAGGATCTGAACCTGCACCCTTTTGGTCACTTATCTGGCCTGCTAACCACAAAGCCACCAGGTAGTGGGAATTGAAAACAGAAGAACATTTTGGGCTAATAATGTTTGAATTGACTGAAGTGTTGGGCATTGAGTGCTTTGTCAGCATCAGTGCAGTGATACATGGTATAGTACTATCTGACTGGGACAGTAGTATTTTCCGTAACTCTAATAGAAAGATGTACACTACTTAAAATGAAAATTGAAAGGGTTCATGTTATGTGCTTTACATTGAATGGGCAGTAGATATAATGCTTTTACTATGTTCTTGAACTGTGTAATTATTTGGTCATTAATTAAGCAATTTTATTTGTTATATTTGTACAATTATTTGTTTTAACATTGGGCCATTGAATATTCTGATTTTAAATGAAATTTCCTGATCACATTATCGTTTATTTGATTTGATCTTTTTGAGATATTACAATAAAAAAAATCAGATTTTTCCATAATTTGAAGTTTTTTTACCTGTAATATGTAAGTCTTATCAATTAAAAAAACTTTATGAAATACCTAATCTTTCATTTTGTAGTCCAGTACAATATTAAGCAAGATATAATGGAAAGGTTAAAGGCTACCATATGTACTTGCTATAAGAGGAGTAAATGTGCAAAAAACCCCAAAGATTCTGATCCCTAAATGTGCAAAAAAACCCAAAGATTCTGATCCCAAAGCATAATACCATAATGTACCTGTAGATCATTGTCCCAAATGATTGTTCTACTGATTACTCCAAACAAACTGCATAAATGCCAGCTCTTTAGGTGAGGGCAGATCTGACTTTGTGCAATTTGCTGTTGGACTCATAAGTGAATATATATGGTAGGTAAATATGCCTACTCATTGCATACAGGTGTGATTGCATTATATCAAATATAAATAACTCAAGTTATCTAGGTTAATAAAACTGTAGGATGTTTTGGGGGACATTATATTATGTCATGTAATAATACCTTATCAGTGTTGTGCCTTACACAAGAGACCTTCTCTCACTCCAAACTGCCAATATCCTCATAATTGAACAAATCTCTCTCTCTCTCTCTCTCTCTCTCTCTCTCTCTCTCTCTCTCTCTCTCTCTCTCTCTCTCTCTCTCTCTCTCTCTCTCTCTCTCTCTCTCTCTCTCTCTCTCTCTTTTGATCTCGATCTCTCTCTCTCTTGATCTCTCTCTCTCTCTTGATCTCTCTCTCTTGATCTCTCTTGATTTCTCTCTTGATCTTTATAAGGGAGATAGAGGTACCTAAAATTCCCACCTGTTCTAAACCAAGATGTAACACTGTCTTAAGACATCATAAGTGACATCATGATGTTATACAAATACAGTACATACTCTTTTAGGCATGTACATTTGCATTAATGGGATTTCACTACACAATCTTGTGATTATATTAAATAAAATGATTTTTTCATCATGTGATAAATATTTTGTGCTCATAATAAATGAAAATGCTGAATAATTTTAGTGTTTTGATTGCCAATGTTTGCAGAAGATATAAATTACTAGGGATGGACAGCTAGCCTGTCCTGGCTGGGTAATGTGCACTACTTAAGGCATTTCCCCATGTTTGATATGTGTACATTGTGTTTTCATTGATTTTCCAATAAATCATGATTATTGCATTTTTCTTATAATTGGGCAAATTGTACATGTGTACAAGAGTGACATTGGTGCCATACTTAAGAAAGAAAGAGAGGATATAAGTGAAACTGCATGAGACAGAATTGTTACTGTGTCCCATCCTTGAAATGAGTCCAAATGAAAGATTTTTCCTTTTTTTCATGATTATAATTGATGAATGAACCAATACAAATTCTTTTGAATGATAATGTCTCACTTAATACCTTGAAGTACCAAATCCACAAATTTAACATAAGCATTTAGCAAGAAAAAAAGTAGCCATTATGACCAGTCAATTTGCATGCTTGCTACCATGAGAACAAAGGTGAATAAGTACAGCTAGTTTTATGCCCATAGCAACATGTCCAGGAGCTGCATATAAATCCCCACCCCCTACTAATAGACTATGAAAAGTTATTGGATGCCACTTCCATATCAACATATACTTTCTGCATGTGGTGAATTGTAAATACACCCATTAAATTTCATGCATGTATACAAGAGTGTTATAATTATTACAAGGCCAACAAGATAAATGTGTTTCCTGTTGCATAGGTTTTAAAAGTAGGTTTGACAGGCCATTTTTATTTGAAATATTATATACATTTAATGTGTTTTTTTATGGTTTTGAAATAACTAAGAATTCTTTTACCAAATTTGGAAAAAGTATTAGGGTCAGCAGCGAAAAACGGAGATTTGGCTGACTGGAATTAACACACTTGAGGGAGGGAGGAAGAGAGCCTAACCTACTTTTTGTTCCTAGTTGTATCTTTAAAGGACATTGTATCATTCAGTGATAATTTCAATGGATTGGTCAGTGGTCACATAAAATTGTGCACATGTGATACAATGAGGAATCTGTGCAAAGTAGAGTTTAGACATATTTCATGAAAGTAATTATGAATCCTATATAAATTTAACTACATTATGGTTGAAGACTTTAATTTTCTGACCTCTAATTTCAGCTTGGTCAAACATTCAAAATTTATTATTTTCATTTTAAATCATGCATTTTGTTGTTAAAATGCTGTTTTTGTATGATTCATTTTGTTACAATCAACTCTCCTTAACTAGGCATGTAGAGAAAA